ACACACACACAACTCCTCGACAATACGCATTTTTGCAGTGCATAAGATGCAAAAATGCGAAACGAACTCTGCGGATGAAACTGCTGCATTCCATCGATAGGCTCTGCACCGCTGCTTTGTCGGTTTAGCTGATTCGAAACCGATATTTGGTTTTGTGCTCCTCCACCATCATGACATCCGGCGCTTCGTAGAAGTAAACTGTTCACAGAAAATGAGCTTGAGCAGGAATGTTGTTGCCGGCCTCCCAGTGAAGTGTCGATTGTCCCAACACCGGAATCGCCTTCTGCGAGCAGTGGTTGTTGTTGGTTTTGTCGTTGCAGCTGTGGTGCAGGTACGGTGAGCGGCAACGGACTTGCTACGTTGGTATTTTCAGCACCGCAGTTAGAAGCGACCGCGGCATACGAGGTATGCTGATGAGCACCATACGCATCCTTGACGGGATTCAGGATGGGCAGCGAATGTGAAGCATGAATCTTATCCTGCTCAGTGCTGCTGAGTTCATATGCAGAGCACGTCCTGCTTCTGTGATGCGCTACCGGTTGTATTGTCTGAAACATCGGTTCACTTATCTGAAAGTCATTTTTTTAGAGAAAAATCTGACTACATCTACAAATGGTGGAGTATATCCTTGCTTAAGCCAGTTACTGCTTCCTCAGCCCATCGCTTTTTCGTCGGTTTATTTGATGTTGTTGATATCAAATACTCAATGCCGCTTTACTAGACCACTTTTTCAACTGTTTATTCGCACAAAATTTTCGGAAGTTGTTATTTTATTCGAATAGACTGATGCCAGAAATACCAACAGGTGCCAACACTAGCAGATATAGCAACTAAGCAAAACAGAGCTGCTTAATTGCTTTCAGATCCAAATAATCTTAAAAAGCTGAAATCCCTGGCAATGATTAAGTTATGAAACTCTTTTCTATGGGATGTGTAAACAGCGCCTCGGTAACATAATGATTGGCAAATCCACATAAAAAGTGGGCTTAAATGTAGAATACTAAATCTAGCTGGCAGAGGAAATGCAAGAATATCATGTAGAGACTATAAGAGATGAGCAAACTTCATCTCCTTGAGCACAGCATCGGCACATTTTGGCGTACTGTCATCCTCATCAGCAGTAAATCAACAGTGAACTTCAGAGTAGCCCAAGTCCCAGTTCACACTTTTTGCGCAGCTCTATTCACTGAATATTTGTAGCCAAGCTGTTTGAAGATTGCAATTATTTCGGAAACGCATTGATTACTCACTGACAGTTCAATTCCTAATCGCTCTTCCTGTATTTGCAGCGGCAATAAGAAACGACAGAGAGGGAAGGAAAAATCGAAAGCCTAGTCATCAGCATCATGACAGCATAAAATGTTCAGCTCATATTCCTATTTTGTATCTCCATTTTTATGCGTTTTTGCATATATGTAAATTGCAAACACGCATATTGGGAAGAGGCTGCGTGTGTGTGTGTGTTTGTGTCTGTGTCTGTGTGTTCGCACTTTTTGTCACCCACTTTCAACTCGAG